ATACAAAAGCAGAGACTTGAAGGTAACAAAGGGCCCTCTTCCTCTCTGTCCTCCTCCCCAAAAGGATCCCTTGGAGAGGTCCCCATCTCCCAAAGGGGTCCCCAAAGCCACCAAGGACAGAAAACACATCACTAGCCCATCTGATCCACCCCAATGGAGGGGGCCCTCGGCATCCAACCTCCAGGCTGCTGACATCTGACACCTAAGAGAACCTTCAGAGTGAAGCCTGCGTCCTTGCCAGATGTTTCCTGACTCTGATGACAGCCCTAGGATTGGTAGATATAAATAGAATTGCTTGATTGCTTGTATTGTTTCTTTTCTGTTATTACTGTGTATCAATAAATTTGCCTATTATCAAATGGAGAGGTTGTGGTTGGTCTGAGGGTTGGTTCCCCCCCGAGAACAAAGCATCTGGGTCCTAAATCCAGAGTCAACAACTGCCAGGTACAGCTAGGCATGGGGCACATGGAACTCTGTCCCCTGCCCAGCCAATCATCAATGTCAACATGGAACTCCATCCCCTGCCCAGCCAATCACCAACACTGACACTGCTGTGACACTGCTGCATGGCCCAGAAAGTGCTGCGCTTCCATGTGCTGTGCTCTGGGGAAAGAATAGAGCTCGATCAGCATCTTAAAATAATGGGGGCAGGGGCACAGAGGTGGGTGGGGAGAGGTGGAGAAAAGGAAGCGTTTGTGGGAAGAAGCAGAGAAAGGGGAGTGTTGTGGAAGGAAGAGGCAGAGACTGTGGGGAGCAGGGGGGAAGGGCATGAAGCCTATAAGGGGAACAAATGGGGGAGCAGAGGGAAGGGAAGCTCCCTTATCCCCAGTCACTGCTCTGCCTGCTGTAGCAGTGGGAGAGGATGAATTAAAGACAACCCTCTGATAATTAGATTCTATATCTGGAAAATGATAACTAATTTATACACTTTTCCATATTATAACCTAATTATTGGGTGTTCATCTTAAAATCAGGGTCATCTTAGATTTGAGTAAATATGGTACTATTGAGACCAGAGATAGATGCTTAGAAATATGTGCCAGGTACAGTAACGTAAGGATGAGTGGGTGAAAAGGGCACAAGCCCCAGACACTGACTAAAAGGGGGTAGGGGGATGCCAGAATACAACAGGAGATACCTCACTCTCTTTTCCCTTGCACTCCCTCCTTCTACAATTTCCATCTCCAGTCCGGGCAGTGGCAGTGCAGGAGCATGTGTCTGTGAGAGATGGGTATCTGGGAAATATAATTCTGTCAAGTATGTTTTTGTCAGTACAGGGCAGGGGGGCAGATGGAGTTTGTCGCTGCTGAGGTGACATTAACCTATTTTTTTGCCACTGAAAACGAGGGCACAGTCCTGGCTAGTTACAACTCTGAGAGGTATATCCTCCAAATGATTTGGCCAGCTACTTTATCATCTTCTATAGAACCACTGGAAAATAAAGTTGAGGAAGTGGCCTATATTCCTCAAGGAAGGCATCTGAACTACTTAACAATATCTTCTCTGATAACTAAGTCCTGACTGAAGAGGAGTCATCTGCTCAGACTGAGGAACAGAGGTACCTGAAAAATCTAGAAACAGATGACTTGCCAGTATCTATGAGGTTACAGGATGGACAAATGCTTTTTATCATCTTAGACTAATGCCTACTCTGAGCAGTGCCTTTGTAGTATCAACAAAAAGATTCAGGGGTTGGAGGGATTCGAAAACTGAGCTTTATATGTGAATTTTCTTTCTGGGAATGTCATTGTTTGTATATGTTTGAAGATCAGACCATTTGCTCTGGGCCAGAGTCTAGGACTCAGACTGCAACAACTTTGACAAGTGTGGCAAAATCTCTACATCTTTGAAGTTCATTCAGAGGTATAGAGAAGTTTTCTACTTGCCAGTTAGAATCTTCACTGCAATTAGAAACTCCCATTCTACCTTAATCTCACTCTCAAAAGCAAGATATAGTAAAAAAAAAAAAAAAAAAAAAAAGCTACTGATTTGTATTAGCTTGGAATTTCTTCTGAGCCCATTTCTGGAATATTACCAGGATCCTGTTTTGGTTGTTGAATCAAGAATCTTAGAAGAATCTTAGAAGAATTTGGTTGTTGAATCTTAGAAGAATTCTCTTTTAGGGTCACAATCAGAATTAGACAGGTCACCTCCTTTAGAAAAGGTGGTACTATTGAGGAACTTCTATAGTTAGCAGTAAGGAAGATTTAAACTCAGGAACTTTTGTTCAAACAATTTAACAAGGGCATTTTAATCTTTCATGGAAAATTTTTCCTGGCCTGAGCTGTCTGCTCCAGAGACCAGGACTGGCCCTGCCTCTCTCCTCCCTAGGCAGAGCTCAGGCTGACTGAGAAAAAGTTGGAGACTGCAGCACAGCAGTATCTGCTCATTGCTCAAGCAGAGATCCACCCCTCCTTCCCCTCTCCCACAGCAAGGACCCCAGTGGCACAGACTCCAGCCAGCATCTGGTCACGGTCATGCCACCCCCTTGCTAGCTAATGCAGAGAGACGTCTATGTTTGTGTGTCTCCAATTTCACTGGAACAAAGGCAGACAGAACAGTGTCTCCTAGGGACTTTTTTGAAACTAATCAACAGGTCAGCTGGTAATGTTCCTTTGTTCTTCCTTAAAAATGCTTTGCAAAAAGATGTTTAAGAAAAGCTTGAACTAATGAAAGAGGCTCTGTTTTCTTGCTGTCAGTGTGGAGACAGAGAGAGGTGTGAGAAATGAGCTGGTTTGCAATGAATGCAGTGCTTGTCAGCTTGCTGCAGACAGTATGAAGAAATAGGGAGAGGGAGACTGAAAAGCTCAGTATCGTCAATAGATGCATGCAGTCCACACAAACAGTCCTTCCTCCCCCTGCCCTTTACCTCAGAGTGCTAGCCAGGGGCTGGGGTCTGGCAACACTCCCTGTCCCATGAACAGTGAGTGGGGGGAAAAGCCTGGTGAGGGCTGCTTCCACCTCCCCCTCCAGGCACACCCCAGATAGGGACTGTGCAGGCTGGGTGGGGGAGGTTTAAACCCCTCCCTAATCACTGTGTTCTGCTGGGGCCTGGCCACACCCACCTCAGCATAGCATTGTGGAAGGGAAGGGAGGATTCACTCTAGCACCCCCTGGCTTCTAACCTGATCCATTGCAGGCATGTGCCTGCATTTCCTGATTCAAAAGTGAACTGATTTGAAAGTGGATAGACATTCAATATCTGCAGATTACACTAACCTGCAAATATTGAATCAATTCAGGGTTAGGCTTTTTGAATGTCTGTCCTTAGCCATAATGTTCTTAGCGATCCTCTACAACTGTCAAATAAAACCTGTTGTGACATAAATCTCTCTTATCCAAAACACAATTGCAAATTCTACACAAAATTATTGAACAGTCCATTTTATCAACCCACTGCTGTTTTCCATGTTTGAACTTTAATTAAAACTCTACAAATAAACATTGGCTGTTTCTAAAATTCCTAAGACCTTTATTGTTCCCTCTAAAGCCTTTTTGTCCTGAGTATCTGAGATTTACATATTTTCATCAATAAAGACATTACCTTTTCTTACACATGGGTATCGAAATAATTTGACTATTCCATAGTCATCAGCAGTAACCAAAACTTGCCCAATAAAATTTGCATCTGCAGAATTGATATCATTGATATCTGAATACTTGGGCCATATTCCATTAACTTCTAAGCCAGAAACACATGTCCATGAAGCCCAGGGGACACCTTTTAATTCTTCTTTGTTTGTAACTTCTTTTCCACCTAAAAATAAAATGCAAATGCTTATTTTTAATCATTAACTACTGCTGTGTTTTTAATAAATCTGAAACTCCAATTTTCAAAGTCTGACCAGAATTTAAATCTAGCTTAGACCAAGTTAAAAAATGTATACTCAAACCACTATTTCTAAAACTCTTTGTTATAACAGGCAATGTTGATAGCAACACTTATTGGGTGCATTTCCACTTGCACTTTACCGCAGGGTTGCCTAGTAAGCTCTGCAGTAAAGCATCACCATCTATACATGTGGCACTATTAGGCCAGGGTAAACTAATTAACTTTGCTGTAGGATAGTACTGCCCAACATGAGTACTATCCTATGGCAAATTTTACTGTGCTACAATGCATGTGTATACATTGACCAGTCCTGGCTGGGGTATGAGCGTGGTACAGTCTTCCAGCTAGCCCCACACTGTAGAGCCCTTGTGCCCTAGCCAGCTCCTCTGCAGTACATTAAACTGGGTTAGAGCAGCCCCGGACTGGCAGGCTGACCCCTTGAGTCCCATCAGCTAGGGCTGTGCTGCCCCAGCTCAACGTGCTGTGGTCCTGGAAGCATGTGTAAACGCTGTGCCCGGGAGCAATAAACTCCAGAGTGAATTGCATCAGAGTTTATTCAGGTGCACTAATATCATGTGCAGCTGTGCCTACTATCAACATTAACACCTGGGTGCGTCTACATGAGATGTTTTACTGCCCAGTAAACTAATCTACTGCACAGTAAAGCATCGCTATTTACACATGTGCAGCATTTACCATGCAGTAAATTAGTTTACTGTATGGTTGGCTACTATTTGTAGATACAGGTAGTAGATTAACCATGCAGTAGCTACTGCACAGTACCTCATGTGTAGTTGCTAACCAAGAGCAATGTTGATGGGTTCTGATGTGCATGGGGCTAGGAGACAGCTGCCCCTGCAGCCCCACAGCTCTCCCAGCCCTTTGCACATCAGGACCAATCCCCAGGCCCCCTGCCAGCCAGAGTGGCACCTGGAAGAGCCTCGAGTTCCCCCTAGCTGGTGCAAGGGGACAGAGCAGGACAGGAGGAACCCTGGACTGGGCTGCTACTATTGGGAACAAATCTGAGCGCACATGTAGGCAAGGTTCCCAGGCGTAGTAAACTGCACCTTATTTTACTGTACCTTACTGAGTATTAATTGCATATGTAGACACACCCTCTGAGACTCAGTTTTCAGTTGCTTACAGTTTTGCCCAGTTTGAACTATTTGAAATAAAATTTTCCATGATTGGTCTCAGGCTAAATTGTTTTCCAAGCGATATACCAAGACCATGGTTAGCGGGGGAAAAAGTTTTGCTCATCTTAAAAAAAAAATCTTGCAAACTTCTCACCAAGAATCTCTAGCAGCTTGATTTGGAGCAGAAATTAAAAAAACAATAATCCTGAAATGTTGCCAACTTATGAGCTTCTGAAAACCTCAGTTTTCAAAAAACTGGGTTTGTTAGAGGCTGGTAGCTGGGATGGAAGGGACCTAATGAGATCAGTCTCCAATAGTTGCATCTGCAATGAGCACTCGCCATCCCTACACACCTACAGGCTGACAACACTGAAGATGCATAATCAAAAAGATGCAGAGTCTGAACAAGACATTTCCTGTAGTTGCTTCTCTAAGCAATCAGGGACCATAATGACAGTAGGTACCAGAACTAAGAGCAGACAGATTGATTCTTCTCTGTCAATACTCTCCTGCTTGTGCCTTATTAGGAGAAACAGGGTGCGTCTACATGTGCATTAATGCACTGTTGCTACTGCACATTACATTTAGTACCTCTAATACAAGGTACTAACTAATGCACAGTAGCCAGTGTTACTGAGCATGATTTTTTCATGACATTTAATGCACAGTGCACTAACTCTACTGTGAAGTAGCACATTAGCACAGTTTTTGCCATGGCACACTATTGCACAGTAGAATTAGCCTACTGTGCATTAGGCATCTCATGTAGACATGCCCACAGAAACCAGCCTTGGGTGCAGCAAAGTAAATGCCACGGGGAGAAGGAAGAGAACTGAATTGAGCTGGAACACATGGAAAGGGAACAAACTTTGAGATATCAGAGTAAAGAGACATTTATTGGTTATGAAAGAACAGTCTATAGGCCAAAAATGTACTGGTTAAGGGGAACAGAAGGCTATAGATTTAATCGCTAGATCACCCACTTCTTCCCCACAAAGAACTGGAATGGGATTTAGAAATTGTAGAACCTCCACATCAGCTATACATGAAGCTGAAACCTATAGTTCCATAACACGTATCTGTACCAAGGAGTTGGTAAAGTGTCCATTTTGGCTCCTTTAGTAGCCAATTCACATAGAGCATGAAAACTGTTGCCAGTTATTCCCATAAACTCAAGTGGTAGAGGTCTGTTGCAGACCTACAGTTTCCAGCATTGTTCATGCTTCGTGAAGTTCCTGTTTCCTGTTAATAAGTCCTAAAAGAGCTGTATCTCTGGACCATAGTAATCTACAATTTATCTACAATTTCAATTCACTAGATAGTTACCTACTTCTATTTTAATTTCATATTTAATTGGCATTTGGATTGCTTAAATATAAACTGTTCACTGCAAAAGCTCATACAAGTTGGCTTCCTCAGTAAGGTTATAAATCTAATTCTGAAGTAGTATGAATCTGTTTTTATGGGGTTCTTGATCTTTTCAAGCTTCCAAATTGTATACAACAAAGCTCATTCTGAACTATTAACACTGGAACTCAGCACTGGAAAGCCCTTATTAAAAAGAGTTCAAATACACAATTCTTTTAAAAAGTGGAAATTTATTCTTCAGAAAGAATGACTGATTAAAAAAAATAAATAATAAAATACATTGTAATAAAACATTGTAAGATTAAATACTGGTATCAAAATTAAGAAATTACAACTCATTATTTTTACCCAAATCAAAATACAGTAACAGCTTAGAAGAGAAAAACAAATCTCAATTGGATGCACTCTTATGTAAATTTACTTCATTTTCTTATGCTGTTATGCACTGAAGAATTGCTTTCATAGGGTTTTCATATGCCCTAAATTTCAGTACTTCAAACCAAGATTTATTAGCTATTTTATGCAAGTACTATACAGTTTATCATTTATAGATATACATTTTTAATAAAGCTAATATTAAAAAATCTTACTTGGCATCCTGTAAAAAAGTCTTTTCCCACTGCCATCATTGGTCTGTAAGTATTTACTGTCAGCAGACCAGTCCATGTGAGTGATGAAACTTAGGGATCCAACACATTCCCCAACTTTTTTGTACCTCTGAACAACACCATAAATATCAACAGAGCTGTCATTGGAGCCAACAGCGAGGAAATTACCATCTGGTGAATATTTTAATTCATGAATAGCTTCCTTCCTGTCTTTAATATGAACCACTTCTGTCATATCTCTGTAGTAGAGAAAATGAGTCTCATAAGCTTAAGAGAGAATATCACGTTCACAGTAATAATGTCTGACAAATTCTAATTCTGAAGGGAAAATCTTAGGTTCATTATGCAAATATAGTTTCTATAGGAAGCAAAGCCCTTTAAAGTTCCCTGCCCTTGGCCTAGGAGGGAGGACAGGAGGTATCACTGAAAGTCTGGGCTGACTAGGAAAGATGTGTTCAACCCTCATGTTCACAGGCCAGATCCAGCCCATGAAGCTAGGTAATCTGGCTCACAGGTTTCCCCACAAGCCCATAAACCTGGTGGTGGGAGAGTGGTGGTAATTAGTAATGCCACCACTCCCTTGCTATCAATTTTCCAAGACCCACATTGCTGGATTGGCCCCAGTCAGGCTGGCCCCATATTGAGACATCAGGCCTTGTTCCCACATGGCTCAATTGAAATTGGACCCAATGCAACTGTGTGGGATTGGGCACAGAGAGGACCAGCTCCACATGGCTGCAATGGACCCTGGCCAAGTTCTTTCCACATGGCTGGATCAGGCCCTGATTGGGCCAACACTATGTTCCGGATAGAGCCCACTCACTAAATACAACCTACAAGCAGATGTGGCACCACTCCTCTGACCCACAGGCCTAAATGTTTGGGCACTGCTGGACTTGAAGGGTTCAGGTAGATCACTAGCCCTTAAGACACTTAGATGAAGGAAGCTCCTTAATATCACATGGAGCCCTCTCTCTCATCCCTTAGACCTAATCTGAGGTTTGAAGACAGCAAAGCTATTGCTGGGACCAGTTTTGGGAGCAGGGAATAAGGGCTAACAGCAGCTCTCACTAAGTGGAAATAACTAAGAAACTAATGATAATTTTTAATATATGATTTATTGCCCAATAATGTATTTTTTCCTAACATACCATTTTTCATAATATACTGTTATGGAAACCTTTGCCTATTAAATCAGAGTAACAGAACTGTATGTATATAATCTGTGAACCATATGTTTGAAATAGAAGTTAAAATAATCTTAGCGTATGCTTTCTATATAAAACATATACTAGATTGCTCGTAACTTTCTGATTTTTACACTATACCTGACTCGAAGTACAGTGAAAGAGCCATCTTTCATTCCAAGTGCAAGATGGATTCCATCTGTACTAACTGCTGCACAGCGAATCGGTTCCTCCATATTGCACCGGGCAATCAATGCATGGTCTATTAAGCTCCATATTCTAAAGTAAAGTCAAATGCAAGGAATAGTTAATAACTTTGTGATAGAAAATGTGAAGGCTTCTAAAAAATATTCTGAATGCAGTGTTCATATTAAAAAATTATTTTCTACCAATAACTTTCAAAACTAGCAAAAAAATGTTATAAGTTTTGCATAGCAGTGAATGCCTATATTTCTTCAAGTAGGATAAAGGAGCTAGTATGAAAAAAATGAAAAGGCAGATTCAGTTTTTGGCTTTGTTGGTAAAACATAAGGTACTTGATCCTACTTTGCTTGAAACAAATTCTGAATTTTCTATTGCTTAAAAGTATATCCAGTTTAACTAATGAAGAGAATAGAACAAACAATTAAAATTTTACAATACAAATGCATCTCTCTATTAATAATGCATTATTCTTAATATATTACAATTTCATATATATTACTAAATAGCATTATAACCTCTGACTAATTGTGCCTAAGTACAGCATGTAATTTTTACATTAGGTTCCAGATGCATGTTTTGCTGTATCAATGTAACTTCCATCCAATTCACAAAAAAATGCTACTACACAATTTCTGAGAGGAAAAGGAATGATCTTTCAGAAAAAACAGAGAGTAAAACTTACTAGGATTTGTTAGAACATAGATTTATTAAATAAATATAGATATACAAACAATTTGTATTAGTAGCAAGGTGTCAGTGTTCTAGTAGTAGGTTGTTCCTAAGTGGATGTTGCTGCTCATGGGAATCTCATTTGAATACATTGTAGGGAATTTCCCAGGGGAAATGTTTCTGACAAGTAGCTACTGCTCCTATCAGGTATCCTGCAACAGGGAGTCAAATTATATTAAGTAAAAATTCCCCATATTAGAAATTCCCCATACACCAGAATTCTCTCTGGAACTGAAAAACAATCAAATCTTCTATAACAGCTTCAGGAAAAAAACTACTTCCATTTAACCCCCATTCTTGTATCCCAGGAATTTTTTATACACTCCTGAAGATCCATAAACAGGATATCCCTGGCAGACCTCAGAGAACAAGTTTCTACAAGATGCAACGGACTTCCTCAGCAGAATCCAGTACATCATCCACCTCCCCAAGAAGGTCATATTTGCAACCAACAATGTCACCAGGCTGTATACTAACATGCCACACCATGAAGGCACAGCTGCCTGTCGGAAATACCTACAAGAATAGAGTACAGCCAGATTTGTAGACACGACAATCCACATTCAGGATGGCACCCTACAAACCACCATATACAAATAACCCATGGACCATCATACTTATGTCCACAAAACCAGCAATCATCCCAAGGATACCAAAAAAGTAATTTAGAGTCAGGCCCTCAGATACCACTGCATTTGCTATGAGAAGAACATTTATGAACCCACCCGGCCTGCCTAAAATCTGTTTTTATACAAGAACACTCCAATAGAGAAACAGACCACACATTTAAAAGAGTACCCATTTAAAAGAGTATCCAAGTACCCTGCAGTAACCTGCTACAATACAAAAAGAAACCCTGCTATGACCGCACATCCCTAGTGATTACCTACCGCCCAACACTGGAACCAATCAGGAGAATCAAATAACTACAGCTTATACTTAACAAAGACCTTGAGATAAATATTCCTATCCTCTCCATTCCTGGCTTTCAAACAACCCCCTAACCATGCTGAACTCATCATCAGAAGCAAACTCCTCATTGCTCAGCAGACATCAAGTTGTACACACCTGTGCCTTAGCAAGAAATCCTTAACCAGGCAACATATCTCCAGTGCTACTACAATCAACACCCTTCATAACAAGGCCATCAGAATCTATGGATCCTACATATGCCTTACCCAAAATGTGATATATCTGATCAAATGCACCAAATGCCCCCATGGCAACTACATGGGTGGAAACAAATAGCAACTACACACCAGAAAAACAATAAAGAATAAATGCACATACACCATTAAAGGCACATTCTTCACAGAACCACCATTCTCTCTCTGACCTCACTACCCCTATGCTCAAAGGAAATCTACTTAACACACTTAAAAAGTGAACTTGGGAGCTAAAATTCATAAGCTGACTGGACATTAGGAACCAGGGACTGAACACTGGTATTGATTTTATGGCACATTACAACCTACCTGAATCCCAAATGACCCTCTCCTTTTTAATAGATCTTGATCTCCCAGTAATCAGCTTCTTTTTTTCTGCTAGTTGTTTGCCTGCTACCTCTGGGAATTTCTCTCCTCCCTCAAATTTCACAGCTCTAGCAACTATTTTTTTTAACTATCACTGCGCTTGCATTTATTCTCAGACTCAAAGAAGAGAATGCCTTGCATCTGAAAGCTTATCTAACCCTATCCAACTATGCAGTTGGCCCAATAAAAGATATCATCCAACAATTTTTTTTTAACTGGATAGGCAAAAAGTGAGTGAAATGAACTTCTAAATTCTAAAACATAATATGAATAAGATTTTTGAAGTATTATATTACATCAAACCACAAGAAGGTATCTCAATTATGTCTAATACAGGGTAGATAGATTCACTCGATATCAACCAAAATGATCAAGCTCAGTAGTAAAGTTACACATCTAAATTTTACTTCAATGCAAGCTGTAGATACCTGGCTGCCCCTCTAAAGAAAAACAAAATCAAATCACTTTTGAGATCCTGAAATATAAACTGATGTGCCTAACTTCAGGAACTCAATTTGATAATTTTGGTCCTCATATTATTTACTGTCATTAAAACTACGAAAGCGAACATTTCCACCATTTGAGTTGAAATAAAGGTCTTAATTTTCATTTTGTAAACTACCAATTTATACTACTGTTTTCAGACTTTCAACAGGAAAGTATTCTTTATCCAGAGTTATGAGAATAAATTTAGCTGGAACAATACCACAATATGATACATAACAATTATTTAACCTTTAATTATTTAAAGATAAAGCAATACCTCAAATTGTACACAGTTAAACAAAAACAAACAAAACAATTCAAATCACCTAACCTGACTGATCGATCATCACTTCCAGTCATAGCCAAAGGTTTTGTAGGGTGGACAGCTAGAGCCCACAGCTCTCCTTCGCAGTGCCCCTGCATGATCAGGAAAGGCTTATTGCGTTCATGCACCACAATTTCAAAAATTTCACTGTCTTGTGTACCAACTAGGATATGATCTCCCCTCCAGCACACACTTCTTACAGACAGACCTGGTGTGGGGAAAGGAATACATTACACAATGCACATAATTCTCATGAACCAAAAACTACTGAGAAACTACCAAGAGATCTTCAGATGACAGGGCATTTGTCAAAGCACAAATTATTTTGACTCTCAGGACTCATTCATATGAGTGCGTATGCTGCGTTTCCACAGGGGCAAGTAACAGCAGCACATAGTTGTGCACTACTGCTCGTCTCTGGGGACCGCCTGGGCACGTATGCGCTAGCATGTGTCAGGTTGCCCTGGGTGGGGTAGAGAAAGCTGGGACAAGCACCTGGGCTGGCCCCAGCAGCTTTACCTGGGGTTCTAGGGGCCTCCCAGGGCTTCAGTGGCAGTGATCCGGTGCATGGAGCCTGGCCAGCAGCCGGAACATGACTCTAGCTGGATAGGCTCCAGTTTCAGGCAGCATATGCTGTATCATGTACACCACCCCACTTTAAGGTGTGGGTTTTTTTGACACTGGGCTGTCCCAGTGTCAAAAAAATCCACCACACTGCAAATTAGCACGTGCACGCTCGTCTGGATGCACCCTTGTTGTGTAAATACAATGTTCATATTAACATACATGTCATATATTTTCATTAACTGTTTTTAAAATAGATTTTTCAACCTGTGAAGAACTTCCCATTTGATCGTGTAATGAAAATAAAGACTAGATTGTTTTGGGTTTTTTACCTTTATATCCCTGGTCTGTTTCCCTGAGATCAATCACAGTAATTGGTTTAAAATTTAAATCCCATAAACGAACGCAGCCATCCCTGCCACCAGTGGCAAAGCCTTCTTCACATGCATTCATGCTGAAAATTCCTGCCTGAGGAGGAAAGAAAATGACATTCAACAACACATACAGCTTATAATAACTATTATGAAAAGAAAGAAATCTTCATATGGATGGAAAATGTTTTCCCCTCTTGTTATGTTGTAGAGAAGGCACCATTAAATCATTCAGCTAACACAATTTTTATATATATGGGTGAGTCAAAAATGTATATAAATTCTAATTATCAAATAACAAATTAATATTATGGGTTTCATCCAAAAATTATAATGCAATTGAAAGTGATGCGAACAGAACTTGGGCTCTGATTCAAGAAAGTTCTTAAGTGCATACTTTAATCTATCCTCATTCAGGACAGAACTTAAAACACACACTTCATATACGTAAGTCTCACTGATTCACTTGGGATTTAAGCACATGGTTAAGTGCTGAATCCATGAATATGGATGATTTCCTAGTGGAGGACTCAGGGTTTGTCCACATGAGAAAACTGCACTAGTTTAACTTCAGATCTAATTTTTAATTAATTAATCCAGCTCAAACCTCTGTGCACTCTTATTTCAGTTTAAAACTGATTGATATCAGTTTAGGTTATATCAGTTAGGAATATATTCAAGTTAGACAGAAATAAACTATACGTGATGCAAAACAAAAGTGTTCATACAAATTTGACCAATTCCCAAATATGTAACTTTTAAAGCAAAAAGGGACAATTAGGATAACCTAGTCTGACTTCTTCATTAATGCAGGCAATAAAATTTAATTAAGTTATTCCTGCATCAATCCCTTAATTTATGGTTGAGCCACATCAACTATTTTAGGAAGTAATCTTGACATAAAGGTTTCAAGTGACAGAGAACCCACCACAACCCTAAACAAATTATTCCCCTAGTTAATTACTCTGTGTTAAATATCTGTACCCTTTTTTTAACCTGAATTTGTCTTGCTTCATCTTTCTGCCAGTAAATCTTGCTACAGCTTTGTTTGTTAAATTAAAAGTGATTCTAACATCAGGAATCTTCTTCTTGTGCTTATTGACCATGGTAAAACTACCTCTTAGCCTTTTTTTAAGTAATCCATGTAAATTAGACTTCTTAAGTACCTTATTGTAAAACTGGTTTTCCAACTCAAATAATTCAACTTTTTAAAACCCTTTCTCTTTTTGATCTGTGGACACCAGAATTGGAAACAGAACTGTCTTGTAATGCTACATAGTGTTAACACCAAACTTCTATTATACATTCCCTTATTTATCCATCCAAAGATTTTGTTTACCCTTGTAACCACTGCATCATAGTAAGAGTTCAATTTCAGATAACTAATCCACCTTACCCACCAAATCCCTTTCACTATCACTGCTTCATTTAATACAATCCCCTAACCTGTCAACTAACTATATGGCACCTATATACTATATTTTATAAGTATGGCATTGAAATTGGCTGTAGTAGAACAATTTTTTCAAGTATACCACATTTTTCAAATTTACCTTGTAGTCCAAGTCATTCTAGAAATTTCTCTTCTCAATTATTATTTCTCACTATTTACCACTATTTTTGCAAATTACAAGCTTCACCAACAGTAATTTTTTAAATTTTTTGTTGTAGTTAATCTACTTTAAGTTAAATCAGTGCAAATTTATCATGTACATGTTTAGAACTAGTTTGAAGATGTGGACTAAGGAATTTTGATTGAGCAGGTATTTTTTACCCATTTATTACCTACCTAACTCAAAAACAGTAGAATTAGTGTGTTTGCTGATATGCAGGTTGAGAGAATTGCCGCAATACTGCTTTCATCCTGATGTTGATGATCCTAATGCTGCCGCTTCTTATACCTAAAAAGAGTTTAGTTTCACATCCTCTTGCCTTAGGGCCCAGTTCAACCCCCACAAATATCAGCAAAAAACCCCAACTGACTTTCATAAGCTGTGGTTCCAGCCTTTAGTTGCCATTAGTCAACTTCTAAGTTATTAGGCAAAAGACATACTTTGGCTCTTTACATACTAAGATGAGGAAGATTAATTTAAATTCCTGAATTCAGGAGCAAAACATACTGTACCTACTGGTCATTTAGCACCATTTGCTTTAAATAACTGATTTTAGTATCCATGAGTGAGTGATATTTTGATAGTGACAAAAACAAAGCATTCTTTCCTTTCCTTAAATATAATGGACACTTTTTCTCAAGTAAAATACAGATATATTCAAAAAGACATGAACAGCAGGTCCACTACTGAAATAAAGATAATATTGACAATTATACCGCATCTTTTTAAATGTTATTGTATTTTTATTTTTTAAATAATTTTGACACTGAACTACAAGCAAACATGAGTAATACCAGAAGAACATTTTTAAGCAATGAAGAACAGGACATGGTTCCAAGACCTAATGCCCTAGCAGAAGGTAAACTAACAGCATTGTCAGTCACAGGTCTTTTATAATTATGTCTTGAGTCTTCAGTTCTAAGAGGCAAATGTGTAGCTGCAATGGTTTCTGTTTCTATCTCTGAGTCTGAAACTTCATACTTCAAAACCAAGGTGATATATAGAAATGCAGAAGGACTATGAGCACAGGGCAAAACAGATTGTTTCAACTTCATGATTATAGTCACGCTCACTCTAGAAAGACATTTACAAATGTTGAAGCACTCTTGGATAATCTAGTGTCCCTGGAATCCATGTTTGCCTCAATGGAGGGGGGAAAAAAAATCAAATTTACCCACTTGTGTAAGATGTAGATGTCACCATAATAACCATGCCTACACAACTTCTAGATTGTAGTCCTATAATCTGCTTGAGTGCCATTCTTAAAAGACCATGTGGAAGCTACACACATGTACAAGATGTATTTGTCAAAGTACAGAGTAGCATTAAAAAAAGAAAATATATTACACCAGTTCCTTGAACTCACTTCCATTAATAAAGATACCTACAGGTTGGATCCTAACTTGAAATTATTTCCTCCCCAGTATGTCCTCCCTAACAGTTGAGATCAGCTGTGACATTTGAGCAGATTGTTCATGGAGCTGGGGACAGTAAATTTCTGGTGAAGCATCATTGATGTGTAATTTATTCTTTTTACTTGTCTAACACCTTTCAAGCTAATTTTCTTATTTTGTGAAGAAGTGTTCTAAGATACATGGATAAAAGGTATCTTACTACAGAAATCTAAAAATAAATATTTAGATATCTCTCTACTATGTTGAAACATGAAAAAATAGCTCTATTTTGTTTGACATAATCAAAGCAATTCATAGTAAAGCTTAGAGTGATGGAATGACTTGGTCCACAACACCAAGTTTAAAACATTCATTTACATATGTTATATTACTCACTCTATATTTAATTAATGCTTGGCAAGCCAACATAGATGTGTTAGGGTATTAACAGGGTGCCTGTTATTTAACCTCAACTTCTGACATCAATCCACACAACTTTAATATGTACCTCTGAAAGAGTATCCCAAAATAAATTATTCAGTTATTGAGAAGGCATCCTATGTACATTTACTATGCAAAGCCCAAGCATAGTAAAAAAGAATCTTTAAAATAGTGACTGTTTTTAATAAGCATACCATATATGCTTACTGCACACATTACATCTTCATATTATGTGTAACATGCTTGGAAACCATGCATTATTTCTTATTCAGAACACAGAATGCTGAAACTAAAAAGAGAATTCTATACGCTAGTCTGTGTGTTAGCATAATGTGATATTTGATAAGTTTTTTTGATTAATGCCTATAGTGCTAACTTTCCAGTATCAGATGCACTATGTACAACTAACCTCCTAAAGTGCGATTAACACCTAAATTCACATGTACTTGTATCCTCTTTCAGCTCTTTAAAAAAAAAAGAAATTGGGAAGGAAAGGTATCAGCAGAAACAGATCTTTTTCCACATCTCCCAAAGCTAGACTTGCAGCTCTTTTGCCTCCTACTAACAATTTCCTCTCAAACCCCTTAACATTTCAGTCCCTTCCCTTTCCTAAAGACACCTTCTTTTCCTGATCCATATAAATTTGGCTCTTCAACTCTCAACTACCGTTATATTATCTCCTTTTTATCCATTCTCCTAACTGCAATCCTATTTCAATCACTTAATTCTCCAGCCACTGTTTGTCTTCCCTTTGGCTTTCCTACTCAAAGACCGAATTCCCTCCCAATGAGATTTACCATTGACCCAGTCTCCCAGCAGCATTCAGTGTATGCATGGCAAGAGATAGTTGACTTGATTCTGAATTTCCATTTGCCTCCTACTGCTAAGTTGCGCCATATTTTTCTCAACTATTTCTATTGGCACATCTACATTTACTTTTTCATGTAACACTGGTCATAAAATGGAAGTGTGTTTTTTCCACCTTTAAATATATGCACAAGAATTTTGGAGTACTTCTGAAACAATTTAGTAGTAATGAAATGCCACAGAATGACTGATCATTTATTAGCCAACCTGGATATTACAATATAAATATTTCACTTCCAATCAATTATATTTCTCACACTGAACATATTCTTCATTGACGGATTATGCACATCAAATGTGAATTTTATATAACTAAGATATCAGAATTTATCCCAATGCATGAAAATGACTTAAATTACAAGGCACACGTGCGCACACACATTTACACATACTTCCTTTGGATGTTTAGTTGATTCATATGGCCAAACTAAATTCTACCAACTTTTCCAAATAGTCTATTTTTACTTTAAAAATAACACAAACAAGTGCTGAAAACATAACTGTTTCAGGTAACTATGAATTTCTAAATATAGAAACATTTTGTCTTCATCAAAAAAATTGGACAGACACAGTGAGACACAGAAGTTTGACTAGGATGCACCAATGCTCTTATCAGTACTTTGACACATCTCAGGTGCCTGGCTGGAAGGTCTTGTTCATCTGCTCAGGGTCAAACTAAGCACCAAATGTGTAGCCAGGAAGGAATTTTATCCCCAGGTCACAATGAAAAGGGAAAGAGGGTTTTTTTTGCCTTCCTCTGTAATATGGAAGAAGGACACTTTGTAGTGAAAAGCTTGTCTAATAGCTCTCCCAATCATACACCTGCTCCAATAAAAGATGTCACCAAAAAACTCCTGCTTCTCCTGTATTTTCTGGACCACCATGACTCCAGCACTCCAAACCCTATGGAATAAAGGGGCATGGTCCTTCTCCTAGGATAACTTGAGCATGTTCTACCCCCAAAAATTCCCAGTCCCTGGTACAAATTGATAACCAATGTCACTTTTACACAGTGAAAGTAAACAGACATACTCAGTATACAAATAGGCATACATAGTATTAACTTCAACTGTCTTCCAATTGCCAATACTGAATTTTATTGGGTTATGATCACCAATCCCTAAACTATCAACATCTAGTCTGGAGACTTATTAATCTTTATTCTTCACAATAGATTCAAAAATAGAATTACTTTGTGTTGCATGCAATAACTCATGCGAGAAAAATGTTATCTGTGATTTTTAGTATTACTAATGCCACATTACTACTGGCCTATAAGACAGATCTCATGACAGCCTTTTTTTCTCCATATTACAGACACATTTTCAGGAGTACCTACATTAGTTTGATTTGGTAGCCTTAAAGATGACATTCTCTAGCATAAAAGGTATTGAGGTCATCTCCCCTTCTGGGCTTCGTTAGTTAACATGGGTCACAGAGAAGCATTCATCTCTATGAGTAAGAATTTTTCCAAAATTCTTCCTGGTAGAAAAACAGCCAGGGGCCTTGAGCATACATGCGTTCCAGCTCTGTATCTGGAGAACTACAAAGACAAGTTCTCCAACCAAGGGACACTAGACAGCTGTTCCCTGGGCCACCTCCACCCTTAAAGGAGTCCATTAATTGGCATCCTGTCCTCTCCTCTGCTAGGAAAGACGACGGTGGGGGAGGGGAGGGGTCCAATCCCAGGAAAATGCCCACTCCCCTCCTGCCAATCAGTTAATTGCTGAGACAGGGGACCATTCTTCTATGGTGGGAGACATGGGGGAAAACGTTCTCTTGGCACAAAAGTATCACACCTTAATGGCCATATTTTTCCATATGCATTCAAAATCCTGCATTTTTGAATTATCAATAGCCAAAAAACAGAGAAGACTTATTTCATAGAGTGCTACCTTTTCTATATCACCCCCTTAATCCGCCCTATCATTTATTGAACATATGAATTGTTTCATCCTGTCAAGTAACATCAATTATGTCATATTTACTCTAAGTAAATTCCTCTTGCTTGTTATTTACATTCTTTTTTGCATTTGTCCAATTTGCTCATGAACTAATGGTAAACCATTTCCTATAACTAAATAACTAAAAGCTACTTGCAAACAACAATTGCTTCAACGCCAACAAGTAATTAACAAGTACTTTTCTTTTATATTAAAATATGGGGAAAATCAGTAGCTTTATTTGTGAATCGTATATAAAAAATTTGAGAAGGTAAACTTTGCATTGCATTGTCACATATTGATTAAAGCACCTGGAAGAAGAAAGGACTATTCAATGTTGTATGTACAAACTGGATTCAGATTTATAAAGCATCTTTTCCATAAAGGCATATGGGCGAAAGTGAAGTAAGAAAGATATAGAAACATTATGTAAATAAAAAAGCATGTCAGATTTGCATGTAAACATTTCAGTTTAAAATAAAAATAAACTTCACAAGGATCATTCAGAAATCTTCTTTGAACTATCAGTTATAAACTTTACCAGTTTCCAAAGCTGTGTAATATTCAAACAGTCTAAATCATAAGTAAAATACTTACAGCATGTGCTCCTTGTATTGTCCTTACAAGATTGATTCCTTTCCATACATATATATCTCCATTAAGTGCACCAGAATATGTCACTTCATCTCTTGCACAGGCTAGGCACAGTATAGTTTGCAGATCACCAGTCTTGCCAAAAACACCACGTTTTGGTGTTAATGAATTACCACACAAGCTCCAGAACTGCAAAATAAAACATGATATAAAAGGGGTTTTTTTGTTAACATACTGCAAAATTTCCAAATTCAATATAGTATATGCCTAATATTGGAGAAAAAAAAATACACTAAATGCTAAGAATTTTCTTCTAAGAAGCTCTTAGTCTTTTCATTCCTCTGGTTCTTCAGCATTCAAACAACAGATCATTTTTTTCCATTAATTTAGACTGCTGTTTCACTGGAAATAAAGCAGTTATTTCATATATTTATGATTTAAGTGAAAACATTTCCATTTTAAATTAAATATTTTTATGAATCATAATTGTTAGTACTCAGTTCAATATCTCTTTGTTTTTTGTAATAATTGAGAACAATTTCATAATAAAAACTTTTAGATGGTACAAAACACACAATATTCTTTGTGCTATCACAGTATTTTTCAAACCAAAACTCGTCAGGAGTTACCGCTATGGTTGTTCCAACAATAGCTGGTGCCAACTTGATGTACAGAATACGGTAAGGATCTGATATGTGGGATACCATTTGCCTGACCATGTGGAAGCCTCTAAATTGCAAAATTACTCTTCTTTTAGTCTCCTTTGCTATATTAGTTAATATTTTAAAAAAATTAAAGTAGTAAAACAAAAAATTATTCCTTTTGGCCTGATTAGCTACCCAAAATTTAAAATTTTATATTATTCCAATAAGAGGAAAACATTGGCACTGAAGTTGGTGGAATTCTGTTTTTAAAAGAAGGGCGTTAAATATAAAGCCCATGAGGCTCACCTAGAGAAGCAGGGAATCATGGAGGTGGGGAGAACAGGGGCAGAAGTTGCTGCTGAAATTTGGGACACAGGGCCCCACAGCTCCATTGCGGATACATTTTGGCTGTAGGAGGGAAGCAACTTAGGCATCCACTCATGTCACCGCTGGACATGAATTTAGATTCAGCCCATAAGGAGCTTCACAGTCCGCATCCAACCTAGGACCCAAAAGAGCTTGACACCCCTGACTTACAAGAATGTACAAAATCTTGCTTCCTAAAGTGCAGGGGAAATCATACATCTGGAAATTTTTTCCAGGCTCTCTGCCCCAGATTACTTTAAGCCAGCACCTGAACCCCGAAGTCCTTTCTAGATTTCTCTTAGGCTATGCCCTTAGTGCTTGTTCAGATAGGATATGAAGCTTCCTTCTCGGTCTTCTTCAGAGTTCTGTTGCTTATTCATCATACACAAAAATCCTTCCTAATAGCCCTGAAACAAAGGCCTTCACATTCAGAAGATCATATTCCTGAGCAGCCTTGCATTTCCTTTTGTTTTTGGTGGACACAAATGCTGACTAATCCTTCACAACTGCGGCAAAGAGTAGTGGTCAAATCAATCAGTTTCAATAAAGGTTCACTCAACCAAAAAGGCAGTTTTATTTTAATTAAAAACATACAAATGTGATTTAAAGAAAAACACATATTTTGTATCAGAGATTATAGAAAGAAATGTAAGATTAAAGGAATTTTTTGTGGGTGCTGCTCAGCGGGTTGGTCCTGGGTGCCACATGCAGCCTGCACCCTGGACCCCCTGTGCCATGTACAAAACTCTGGTCTAGGCCACATGCTGCAGGCAGCGCATGCCCTGTTCTGCCCTAGCACACTACAGGCACAGTGAGCCCCAGGGTGAGCACGTGATGCAAGCAGCGTGCCAAGCTGGACCGGCCATGTACACTGCACACAGCACAGAGGGCTGGCACAGGGTGCATGTGGCATTCAGCTTCCCACCAGACCAGACTTGCACTCTGGCTCTGGCATTGCCTGACCTGAACCGGCCCAGAACCACCACACAGGACCAGTCCAAGAGTGTACCACACACAGTACATGCACCAGATTGGTCCGACTGTGCTGCGTGTAGGGCGTATGGGGCCAGGTCCAGCCCACACACCATTGCAGTGCATGGAGCTGTGGTCTGAGATTGGTTCAGAGATCTGTGGGCTGAATCATATGACTCCATGGGTCAAATCTGGCCCACAGCTTTGATACCCTGGTAGTGTATATGTTAATAACCAAAGGTTAAAAAGAAAAAAGACTACCACATTAATTCCCAAAACAAGCACTGAAGAATATTCAAAGTTCACTTCTAAGTTTCAAGTCATTAAAAATCTAAAATATGTTCACGTGCTGTTAGGACACGCAAAATAACCTGAACTATGTTTCAAAGTGACATGAATAACTACACAGCCATAATTAAAACATGTTAACATTTCTGGTTCCAGACACAAATTCAGATTTTTTTTGAAAACATATTTTTTTCCTTAGTGCAGAAACTATTTTTTTTTTCGAAAACAGAACTAAGTTTGTGGGATGGACTGTCTATGCAGTTATAGAACTTATGTCCGGGAGAAAAAGATGTCTAAGCAAGTGGAGAAAAGAATATGGGTGATGTCATGATAAGGGGCTTATTATAGATCATCAAGCACAGAATTTGGATAAGGCTTTTTTGGGCAACTAAAATAATCCAAAATATAGAAACTAACGACAATGTGTGCCTATATACATGCTCCAACATGTTCTAATTAGAATGCTCTAGCATTGCCACAGCATCACATGTGGGTTTAAAATCATGTGGCCCCACACTGGCAGAGGTAAGAGAGAGGACCCAGGACCATGGCAGAAGGAGCGTGGAGCCCAGTTGAGGGATTGCCCCAGCAGGGGCCAAGTGAGCAGAGCAAGAGCCTGCTCGCTAAACTAGAGGCTCGGAGAGCCTATAGCTCTAGGGGCCCAAACCCAGTGAGAAGGAGCGAGCGACACAACATGAGAAGCCCCCGAGAAACGCCGCTTCACTCAGTGGGACACCAGAAGTGGTGACTGTGAGTTTGTTCCAGAAGGAGATCCGGGGATGTGTTACAGTTTTGAGTTCAACGGTTCTTTTTTTTCATTTGAGTTAAAGGCAGATCAGACTGGCCCTCCCATCATGGATATAGAAGGCTAAAGAACTGTGTTGGGGGCTGAAGCAGTAAGCCTGGGATAGTAACCCATTTGAGGACTGAATAAAAAGGGGATGTGATTTACCAGCAGGCCTTGAGGCCAGTAAAAGAGCTGGGGCAAAGAGGGGAGAGAACTCAGCCATCTTGTGCAGAAACCTGATATGGACTGCCTAAAGAGTGGGCGCCCATAGATTAGGCAGATAAGACTATGGCCACCCAAGATTGGCACAAACCCAAGCATCTCCAGGGTGGTGACTTAAAACAAAGCTGGAAGAGACTCTCTAACCAATCAAGATTACAAGCTGTAAACGAGCATGGCTAATTAAGCAAATCACTGGCTGCGCTATCCTTCCATCAGATGACCAGCGGCCTGACTATCCTAGAAGATCTGTTTGGTCTTGGTGCATGGGCAGGGTATAAGAGGAGGAGCAGCCCCAAGGACCAATGACTCAAGATATTTGTGAGAGCAAACAGAAATAACCAAGGATCCTCTCCTTCTCATGTAAGATCAAGATGTGGTGGGCGAGTTGGAGGGTGTGTCCTATGAGTAAAAGTGAGCAGAAGTCAAGCTGTGTGGCCCTAAGAACTGGCACTCAACAGACAAGAGTGCCTGGTTGCAGAGACAAATCCAAGTTAGGCATAGCCATCCACACATATCAAACAACAAGAATGCAGTTTTTGTAGAAAAAAATGATTAGTTGGGCCTGAACAATGGTGTAGAAAACAATGTTTCTGTAGAAAGCAATGCCAACTGATTCACACTTGGCATGAGCCTAAAACCAGGGTGGATGTGGTGCCTGGGGCTGATGGGTGGGTAATAAGGTCTGTTATCTCTCACTTCCATATGCTGCTATTAACAAGGATGTTACGTCTGGAGACAACAAACTCTACCTATGCCTGAAGAAAAGCATTTGTGCCCAAAAGCTTGCGAAAAACCAATTTTTCCAAATATTTAGTTGCTCAAATAAAAGACATCACATCTACCCAAAGAACCTCATCTGCCTATGATCTCAGCTGGGGAAGGGACAAGGTTCCCACACGCACTGTGTCAGCTTGACATTGCCGACACGGTGCATGTGGGAAGAGGAGTAGCCATGTGCTGCTCGGGACAGGATGAGCCCGGCCGGAGCAGCAGGGGGCTCAGCTGCACTTTCCCCCTACCTATGCCAGTCAGTCCCGAGCGGCACATGGCTCCACTGCCGCTTCTGTTGGCTGGTGCTGACCCAGGCGGATCTGTCCCATCCGGAGCAGCGTGCAGCTGAAGCCAGATTCCCAGGTGCTGCTGGGGACAGGAGGAGCCCGATCGGGTCGGCATCGGCCAGCAGAAGAGGCGGGGGGGGGCAGGGTCGGCCCGGG